TTCTTATTAATATTGCAGATCAAACATATCAAACACAAGGTAAGGTTCTATTCTGATGCCAGAGTATCAATTAATAGCGCTTTACTTAATCTTATATTTCTCTTTTTTATAGATCATAGGAATTTGCAGGAGATTGTAGAGAGTGCAGTGAATAAAGCAATGAAAGAAAAACAATTTGAAGTGATAAGTGTATCAAAGCTGAGCGGTACCAAGATGAGCAAAATTGAGAAAACTATGGGTTTTGAAAACATGCGAGTATGTACAATAATGCCTACTAAAGCAGTGATTTCCTAATATGAGTTCCTTCTCATTTCATTTTTTTTTCTATATAAAGCTTAGTGTCAGAGATTTCTCAGATTATTCAACTATAGAGTGCGATGGATTCAATTGGGATATGGACAAAGATGAAGACAAACAAATGCAGGATGTCAAAGACTGGTTTGAAAATATATTAAAATTAGGAGAACATTATTCCGTCGAAGATGTTCATAAATCTACAAAAAAAGAAGTAACATTAGATAAAGCTCGTACTATATTACGGGGTGGAACTGACATTTGCATTGGCCCAAGTCTAACAGGATGCGTCTATGTAGAAACAAAGAAATCGCTCCAAGGATTAAAATTAGAAGAATCTCAAGCTAAAGGAGAATTACTTATCGCAAATGCAGACGTTGCGTTAGATGTATTGGTCGTATTGACAGATTGCAACGAAAAGTGGACTATCTTTTTCATAACCAAAGCTGAAAATCCAGTCGAGCAATATTTCATTGTAACTGCAGTAATTGATGACCGTGGCAAGGCATTAAGTATAATCAAAAGTTTTGTTTTAGAACAGGGAAGCAAATTTGATAGCATTATGGGAATGAATAAGAGAGAGAGTTTAGAAAAAATTATAAATATTGAAGGACCATTATCAAAAAAGGCGAAGTTCAGAGAGGCTGTTATATTTTGTGATGAGAGAATGTTGGATATGATTCCGGATATGACAGAAGATGAATTATTTCGTATGAAAATGAGGTGGGAATTAAAGATGCTTGAAAAATCAGTTTGTATGGATGAGAAACCTATTATACAACAGTACATATCAGCTTTTAGTGATGATTACGAAAATCATGAACCCTCTGGTTTAATGTCAATGTTTGCATAAATATTAAATGAAGCTTCTTTTTTTGTGTTATCCGTGTTTGACTAGTATCTCTTTATTCTGATCATATTTCGAAAATAATGTAATTTTTTATATTTGCAATTTGAGATAATAAAATGGCCCGATTTTTATTCTAATCCTTTGACAAAATGAAATTTATTATATGACAAATGATCGTACCGTTTTTTTATACCGCGGCCAGTTTTAACTTTTAACCGTAAAGTTTTATTCGGTTTCCTACAGAGTTAACTACGGAATGCCTTCCTCTGAAATGATCTGTAAGTAGGCCTAGCTTAGTCATTCCGGTGGTCACGATTCAAAGATCGGTATCATATTGTTTTGCTTTAGCTTTGAGATACTTGACTGCGAAGATGGTATTTCTCACATCTTAACTGATAATTTCCACAATTTCCCGCAAATATCGTACATATATCACAGACAAGTTATGTCTCACTTGATTTGTGAAGTGTTACAAATAAAAATAAATTTCGTGCAATATCCGGGTCTACGTTACTGTGAAAAATCATGATTATTATAGCATGGTGGAAGTTTGATTTTATTGGATATAAAATGTGACAAAATAAAATTTAGGTTTTTACCAAAATTAGAATAT